CTTCCTCCCTCCTTGTCCTCCCTCCTCCTCCCTCCTCCTCCTCCTACTCCTTTTTCCCTTCTTCCTCCTCCCCCTCTTCCTCCACTTCCTCCTCTTGGCGGCGCCCCTCCTCCTCGTCGTCGTCCTGTTTCTCCTCCTCCCCCCCCGCCTCCTCCTCCTCGGCCCCTCCTCCCCCCACCCTTTTGGCGATCCAGGAAACCAGCTAACCATGTTAGCTAACCAGGATAGCAACTGGTTAGAACCGCTTGCTTAAGCAGATCGAAGCTGACTCGCTAACCTGCGATTCAGATTAGGCAAACCACTCTAAACGGATCGGTGATTAGCTAATATTGATTCTAACTTGGTTCTATATGCCCCAAGGGAGTCGCCTGTTTAGCCTAACCATGCGAACCACTTAGGCTGGATAGCAAACGCTTAGCGTGCTTCGTACCACTTGCAATGATATATACCCGAGATAGATGTAGGACCGAAACCGCATCCAAGCGCATAGATCCACCCGAAACACTTAACAAGCAGGGGGAACATCCAAGTAATAATAAGATTAATAATAATAATAATAAAATAATAATAATAATAGTAATAATAATAATAGTAATAATAATAATAGTAATAATGATAGTAATAATAATAATAACAATAAGAAGAAGAAGAAGAAGAAGAGGATTAGGAGGAGAAGAAGAGGGAGGAGGAGGGGAGGACGATTAGGAGGAGGGGGAGGAGGAAGAGGAGGTGGAGGAGGAGGAGGAGGAAGATGAGGAGGATGAGGGAGAAGGGAGGAGGGAGGAGAAGGGAGGAGGAGGGAGGAGGAGAGAGGAGGAGGAAGGAGGAGGGAAGAGGAGGGAGGTGGAGGGAGGAGGAGGGAAGACGAGAGAGGAGGAGGGAGGAGAGGGGCACTCATCTTCGCACGGCCTTCGCGCCCCCCCCCTCCTGCGGCGAGGTCGTCAGACGCACCAGCCTGAAGAACCCGGCCTGGGGCGACTCCCCCCTGACCCTGTACGAGGAGGGGTGTGGGAGCCGTGCCCCGCCGAGGAGGACGAGGACGAGGGCACGGAGGAAAAACCACCCGGACCGAACAATTGGCGTTTACTGCACGGCCCTGAGCGTTTGCTAAATAGCCATGCCCTGTTCCCTCTACGGAAGTGGAGGGTTCTAGGCTTCCTAGATAGGGTCGGAGTAGATGGGTTTGGAGGATCGCGCCCCATCGCCGATGCGGCTCGATGTGGGGCCCGATTTGCTCCATGCCGGCGTCGCCGATGCACCGCGCCGACATCGCCGATGCATCGCCGGTGCATCCCCGATGCGTCGCCGATACACTACCGATGCATCGGTGATGCGGCGCGATCCTCCGACCCCATCTAGGCCTCTAGACGAGGTCCTTGGAAGAGGAGGATGGGCCTCCAGACTTCCGCAAGGCGGGAAACAGACCCAGACATGCGACGTCCTGATTTTTTCGGGACGGCGTCCCCAGAAGCTCCAACCCCTGCCCCGGGGCCGGCTTCTCGTCCTGATTCGTTTTGTTGACGGTCCCGGGGCCCGGCGAGGGCCCCAAGGCGCCGAAGAAAGTAGAACATATGGCAGTCTCGCTTCTGTTTTTTTTTTTTGTGTGTGTGTGTGTGTGTGTGTTTGTAGGTAGAGGAAACAAAAAACGGCGCGATCATGTCTGGGGAGGTGAACGCGACGCCATGGAAGTGTCCCTCGCTCTGTTGGGCCCCGGGAGGCCGCGCGCTGGTCCCGGGGGGGGTTGTGAAGCGGTAGGGCTGCCGGGCTGGGAGGGGCGGTCGTCGGGGCGAGGCCGAGGTCATCGGGGGCCCACGCCGCCGAAGAAGCGCTGCGGCGGAGGAGGAGGAGGAGGAGGAGGAGGAGGAGCAGGAGGAGGACTGGGCGGAGGAGGAGGAGGTGGAGGAGGAGGAGGAGGACGAGTCGGGGGAAGATGAGGATGAGGATGAGGATGATGATGATGATGATGATGATGATGATGATGATGAGGAGGAGGAGGAGGAGGAGGAGGAGGAGGAGGAGGAGGTGGGATGTACGGCACCTTTCTACTATCGGGACGACCGAAGGGAGGGACGGAAATGAAGGGTGCAAAGGCCGACTGCATTGCCTCTTCATTTTGAACAGGACTCGTTGTCCATGCCGCCGCGGGCGTCGTTTGTTTAAGACAGACGGCCCCCTGCCCAACAGCGGCCGATGTCGGTTTTGGACAACGTTTCTTGTTGGGGATCGTGCCCGTGTTTGTTCCGTAACCGCTTCGGGCGTCCAGATATCTGATCGATTAGATTTCGAGTGCGCCATGCCCGATCCGGCTCGATTTCGGATTTCCGACGGTCCGATGTGGTCCGATGTTTGCTCTGCGCTGTTGAGCATTGACTCCGGGTCGATGTGGCCCGATTCCACGTCCGTTCCAATCCGATCCGATTTTGGGATTCGACGCTGACCGCTTTTTGGACGAGGATCCCGCCAGGGACAGAGTCCGCTCCGACTCCTCACGTGCAGTGAAGCCCAGGTCCGCTTCGGGTTGCATGACCGACGGGAGTTGGGCCTCTCCCACTCTTCCTCCCCCTCCCTCCCTTCCTCCCTTGTCTGTTTTTGTTGGCCGTTGGGCGTTTCTGGACCGTTCGCGTGCTTGGGACTCGGACCTTTTGTGTCGCAAACGTGGGAGGGACGAGGAGGAGAACAGCGATACAGGTGCGGAGTAGGACCAGTCGGAGGAGAAGGACAACGACGCGGAGGACGAGCAGGAAGTGGAGCAGGAGGAGGAGAAGAGGATGATGATCGAGAAGATACGGGGAACATGCGTGAGGATGGGGAGGATGTGGATGATAAATGGGGAGTCCGAGGGGTTGGACGAATCATATGGCGCAGCAGACAGACACATATGGGGGTCAGGCGGGAGACGGTGATTCTGAGGAGGAGGAAGAGGAGGAGGGACCAGCCGCACTAACCTTGTCTTCCCCATCTCTGTCATCATGGACCACAGTGCTCCTTTCTGTCAACGACGGGTTGCAAGCAAGGCGTGCGTGTCGTCATCAATTGGAGTTTGTCTAGTTGGGACGCGGTACGGGCCAGCTTGTGCCTTATACTTACATGGTGTTCGGGTATTGGCGTGAAGACTGCACCCAAACAAAAGTATTCTGGATAGTTTTCAGAGCCCTTTGGCATGAGTTGGAGCGCCAGCAGCGGCAGCAGCAGCACGGGTGGCCCTCGTATTGGGCAGAATAAACATACAAATCAGCAGTTGCCGTTGCCTCTTGTATTGTTTGGCGAGTTGAGATCTTGCCCCTTGCAATCGCATAGAGAGCACCGGCAGCGAAGGGTAAGGCAACCAACTGGAAGGACCCCAGGACCTGCCCTCGGCCTGCCGCCGCTCCCCCCCCCTTCTTACTACTCGCGTCATCCGCGTTGTCAGGGGGCTGGAGTGGATGCACATGTTCTGCCTCCTCCCCCTCCTGGGCTCCAGAAGACAGCATTCTGAAGCACTGTAGTCTCCTACGGGCGACGAACATGTTCATGTCTATGCCAGGATTCGGAGGCGCGAGCCCGTGCATCCTGAATTCTTTCGTGTGTGGCATTCGCGCAAAGTCGCTCATGGGGTCGCTGCCGAGGCGTACTCTGCCGTGGAAACGAATTTCCGCCCACGATTCACCACTAGAACTTCGCCCTCCCTCCTCCTCCGTCGTGCTCCTCCTCCTCCTCCCCTTCCTCCTCCTCCTCCTCCTCCTCCTCGTCTCCTCCTCCCCCTCCTCCCCTCCTCCTCCTCCTCCTCCTCCTCCTCCTCCTCCTCCTCCTCCTCCTCCTCCTCCTCCCCTCCCCCTCCTCCTCCTCCTCCTCCTCCCTCCTCCTCCTCCTCCTCCTCCTCCTCCTCTCTTCCTCCTCTCACTACTAGAACGTCCTGCTCCCTCCTCCTCCCCCTCCGCCTCCTCCTCCTCCCTCCTCCTTCGTGCTCCCTCCGCTCTGCTCTGCCCCCCTTCTCATGGCAGGGCAGGCCCCCGCGCTGACGGAGGAGGACCGACAGAAGGCACGCGCCGATCGCGTGCGCCTGCTGGAAGGGAGGAAAGCGGGGGGGGGGGGGGACAGGCGGAGGAGTCGGAGAAGCAGGAGAAGGAGGAGGAAGGCAGGGGGAGGTGGAGGAGGAGGAGGAGTCGGAGAAGGAGGGAGGAGGAGGAGGAGGAAGGCAGGGGGAGGTGGAGGAGGAGGAGGAGGAGGAGGAGGAGGAGGAGGCGGAGGCGGGGGAGGACGGGGCTGCCAAGGGGGAGGATGAGAGTTGGAAGAGGATTGCTTTGCTGCGCGGCCCTTGTCCACATCGCGGCGTCGAGATCCCCACTCCCAGTGGAGCTATATGAGCGAAGGACGGAGGCCCGGGAGGAGAGCCAGGGTTTGGGCGGCCTGGGACTTGGGTATGATGAAGATGATGACGATGATCATGACGATGATCACGATGATGGTGGTGATGATGATGAGGGAAAGAGGAGGGGGAAGAGGAGGAGGAGGAGGAGGAGGAGGAGGAGGAGGGTTAGCGTGTTTCTGCTCAGTATCCTTTTTATTTTTGTTGCTTCGCTTCTTGCTTTAATGCATTACCTTGCCTCGTCCGTCGTCCGCTCACATGCCTCGTGTCACCATGGGTTAATATCACTCTCCCTGGCCCCCCTTTTCGGTGCACCCGAGCGTCCCTCCCTGTCGACCTCGTCATTTCGATGATTTGCCCAGTGTCCTTGGCGCCCCCTCCTGATAAAGCCGAATCCCAGCCCAGATCCTGGTTCTGCTTGTCCTGCCTTTGCTCCCGTTCCTCAGAGTGCATCTTTTTCGTGCTCCTCTCTGCCCTAGGGAGGAGAGCGAGGAACATGAGACATCTACTTGCGCTTGTGGTTTTTCTTCGTGCGGCCTCGCCCTTTCTCATCGGCGTTGCTCCTCGTGCATACACACATCATTGTCATTAACATCCTGCTCCTCCTGATCATTACCCTCCTCTTGCTCACCGTGCGGATCTGCTTCGGTCACAGTGTAGCCATGGTGCTTCAAGACGTTCGGCATCCAGGAGGTGCCTCTGGGTCCACACCATGTCTTGGTCCTCTTTCGATCTTCCTGCGAATGAGTTCGCCGGGTTCCGCAAGCCGAAAGCCGATGGCGGAGCCCCTGCGGGACCGAGGAGCCAGGGGATCATTTAGAATGCACATTCAACTGCGACTATGTTGTACGGGGGCTTCCGTCTGCGCGAACCCGCTTCAGGTCGCAGACCTGTTGGCCAGCTCGGGGCGAGCACTGGCCGTTTCCGTTGCGTGATGGTTATCAGAGTCAGCGGGCCACACGGTCATTCGTTGACCCTGGACGCATGTCTGAATTAATGTTCCGCGGCGCGTATTGTTGTTGCGCTTGTTGCGTTGTTGCATGGTGTTTACGTTGAGATCCCATACCCCAAGCAGTGCTTGCACTTGGGGGTTCTTATTCGTCTTCTGGGGAACTGGGACTGGGTGTCGTTATGGCGGCTATGAAGTCGCCGTTCGCCGCTCCGTCGCCGCCTCGGCGCCGCTTGTCGTCTGGCCTTGTGTGTCGGTCGGGCGGCTATGCCGTCGCCGTCGCCGCGTTGTCTCCGCCCGTCGTCTGGGCTTGTCTGTCGGTTCGTCGCTTTCGCCTATATGTCGGTCTGGCGGCTACGTCGTCACCGTCGCCGCCCTGTCGACGCCTTGTCGCCGCCCGTCGTCTGGGCCTGACCGCCGGTTTGGCGGCTATGTTGCCCCACGTTGGCTGCACAACATAGATTCTCTTCTTCCCAAGAGTAAAAGGATCTTCCTCCCCGGGACTTAACGTTCCCACTTAGCCTATTGCAATGTACAGATGATCGAGCCCTATCGTCCATCTGAACTATGAGTTCGTACAACGCCGCCCAGCCTAAATCGTCCCCCTTCTAATTCTTTGCAACAGCAATTGCGCGAACGCGCTCGTTTACCACAAACCACGAATGTTTAAACATTCCTTTGCAACAAACGGGTCGGAGTGCGCACGCGCGCCTCGTCGCGCGCGCATGCCGCAATCCCCCCAAAACTCAAGGTTTCGTAAGTATTTCAAAACGGAGTGCCCCGAAAACATATTCACATTAGCCTGGCGAAGGACACAACCATATGCAGTTGTGAATACCGCAGTTGTAGGAGTCGTTTTCGGTGGAGCCCTGTTTTCAGAAAGCCACGCAACGCTGCACCGGGCGGGGGAGACGAATTCGTCGGCCGCGCGTGCATGTCTAATTTTCGTCCAAAACTTGCATCGCCCACGCGAAGACGCCGTCATCGACGCAGGCGTGATCAGCATCGGCGCCGTCATTTGCCTAGCCGTCGTCGATGGCATCATCTTCGCCAGCAGCGCTACGACCATTATCGCGTCTACCATTGCAGGCGTTGCCATGATACCGCGCCCGCCCACGTCGCCGACTCGCACTGAAATGCCCAGTGGGAGGTGCCCCGCGGTCTTCGCCACCGCGGCCGCGTCGGCCGCGACAAACCGAGTTGGCCGCTTCGCGCGCGAGCATGCGCAGGCTTGCGCGGCCGCCAGCATGCACCAGCCAATGCCAAGAAGTCATCGCAATCGTCGCCGCATGGGTTTGGGGAGCCAAGTTGCGGGTGTGGGGGCGGGATGTTTGCGCGAGCGGTGGAATTGACATGTCATTGTACAACGTAGATTGCACATCGTACTTGGCACTACATGAGTTGCTCCACAAGATTTGACAGCATAGACCGTCCTCTCACATTGTTTGGGGCACGCTCTCGCAAACTTGTGAATGCATATATATATATATACATTTATATAGATATGTGAAAGTGGGTGCGGTTTCTTGGGTTTCGGGCCCAACTAGCTGGCCACTGCGCGCGCATGCGCGCCAGCGCGGCCGCAGGGATGCACGAGCCAACCCCACGCACTCATCGCAATCGCCGCCGCATGGGTTTTGCAAACCAAGTGGATGACTGCGCGAGCAGCGGAGTGGACATCTTGAGGTTCGGCAACCTGAGGTATCATTGTTTAGAGAAGTATTCGGGTCTACCGCCCCACCTGGCTTTCACCGCTCAAGCTTGCGTGTTGCAAAGTGCACAGGGCTGTGCCCCACCGTCCATCGTTATGCTGATTCGTTCGGTCCCACTTCTTGCACAACGCACTATGCGCACGCACTTCTTTTTTGAATTCGTCATATGTTTCCCAAAATCCCCTTGCACAAATACAGGGGAAAGTGCACACGCGCACGTCGTCGGGCGCGCATGCCGAAATCCTTCGAATATGCTGGTTTCCGCAAAGATGTCACAATCTATTGTCTAGAAACATATAAATCCAACCTGTTTCGGCACACGGGTTTTCAAAGAAGCCTGCGCCCGCGCCTCTGCGAGTTCTTAATGGGACAATGTTTCCAACATGCCCATGTTATGCTAGCAGTGGGCCTTTTTCGCGCGCGCGTGCCTAAATTGCGCGATCGCCCTTGCGCGCGTGCTGTCGCAAGAGCCCTTTGCAAATCATGAAGCGACGCGCGCGCGAGAGTCGTCGCGCGCACGTGCCGAAATCTTTAAAAACTTGGTTTTCGCACGGATTTCGAAAACAAGTGTTCCGAAAATGCATCAAAGCACGCGGTTTCGCAATCAGGATTTTCATGAAGGGCGTGCGCGCGCTCTTGCGAATTCTTACGAACGAATTAGGTTTTGCAGCATTGCCATCAAGTGCTGCCAAACGGGTTTTTTGCGCCGCATGTCGAACTCATCCGGAATCTTTTGTGCGCGTTCTAGGGACACGATTTGTGTCAAATAAAACCACGCGGGCCATTGGCGCGCGTCGGCCGCGTGCGCGTGGCGAATTCTTTCGAAATCTTCATCACCAGCGCGAGGACATCGTCATCGCTATCGGCGGGCGTGATCAACATCATCGCCTTGCCGCCGTCATCGCCACCATCGTCACCATCATCGCTAGTCACCTCATCGTGTCTACCGTTGCTCTCGTCATGATGTTGCGCCCGCCCACCTCACCGACTCGCACTGGAGTGCCCCCTGGAAGTGCCCACCAGTCAGTGCCACCGCGGCCGCCTCGAGTTGGTCGCTGCACGTGCGAGCATGTGCGGGCTAGTGCGGACGCAAACATACACCTGCCAACACCAAGCACCCATCGAAATCGCCCCCGCATGGGTTTTGCAAACCAAGTTGCGGGTGGCTGTGTAAGATCTCTGCGCGAGCAGTGGAGTTGGTAATTTCAGGTTCGGCTTGGCGAATTGCTCCACGTAGATCATCCTCTCTAACAGAGAATTTGCATATACCACGCACCCACCGGGTTTTATCCCCTCTCCTTCGGGATGGTACAATTTACACCATGATGCCCCATGTGTAATCTTAACTATGAGCCCGTACCATCCCAGCACGGCCATACTCGCCCCCCTCATGCGTGGCAGCGAACACTATGTGCGCGCTGTCGCTTATCAATGACCAGAAGGTTTCAAGGAAGCCTTGCAACACACATGGAACAAATCCACACGAGCGCGTCGTCGCAGGCGCATGCAGATTTTGTTTTAAAAGCCTTCGTTTCTCGTAGGGTGCTCAGCACTATACGAATGGTGTTGCAGCATGTAGTACCCCCAAAAGGTCCGCGCCTGATTGTGATATCTTACGCAAACCACTGGTCTCCGTCAACACTTCATCAACTTTGACCAACCTGGCGATTGGCGCGCACATTTCAAAATCACTCGGAAGCCTGGTCGCGCGCGCGGGAAAGCCACGACCCCGGTAATACGAGACCATGCGGGCCATTCGGGCGCGTCGGCCGCGCGCGCATGTCGAAATCTACCCACAGCCTTTACCACCGACAGGTTGACACAATCATCGTCACGGGCGTGATAAGCATCGGCCGCCCCATTGGCATTACCGCGGTCAGTGTCCTCATCGTCACCAGCGTCGCTATTATCATCATCGCGTCTGCCGTTGCCGGGCGTCGCCATGATACCACGCCCGCCCGAGTCACCAATTCGCACTACTGTGCCCGCGCGTCAGCGCGGTCTGCGAGACGTCCACATAAGTCGCACCACAGATTTTGCACAACATGGATGCACAACGCAGATTGCACAACAAAGGCTGCACAACACCACCCAGATTGCTCAGCGTAAATCGCGAGACGCCCACTGTTCGTGGGCCCACGCTGGTCAACATGTTCTAGAACAGTTATTATTGATCCCCCTCCCCATGGGCCCGCTGCGCTTTTCAATTCGACCCCCCCCCTGGAATATGCACCGTTTTTATAGGTAAACATATATTTGTGTGTACACACACATATATACATATAGATATATATATATATATATATATATATATATATATCAAGGACAGCAGTGCGCCTCATAACAACAAGAACAACAACAATACCAGCTACCACAACAACAACAAACCATTAACAAACAAACGAAACAGCAACCGAACAAACAAGCAAACTAATGCAAAGCCAACAAGAACAGCAACAGTAACACCACCACCAACAACAACAACAAACGCAACAACGGTTCCCGCTTGAGATGTGTTCCAGGTGTCGCGCTGTCGCGTGGGACCAGTTTCACGATCTATTGAGACGCCTTGCCGTGGACACTAGGAATCAAGCTCTCGCACTGGACTTGTTCGCAGCTTATGTGGGAATCACGCTCTCGTTCGATAAGCCTCGCGATCCGTGCAAGGCTGATGTTTCAGTGACCCGTCCGCTCGACCCAGACGACTGGTTATGCCACTCGTTTTCCTCATCCTAACCACCCATTTGGTAACCTCTATTCGTGCTCCAGGCGTTATCCTCTCCCATTGTCTCTTCCCTCCCCCCTTGCAATCTGCGTTTTTAGGGCTGCGGCAACTCCACGTGGCAGGTAAGGATGATATACCTCCTACGGGGTGTACGATCGAAGGCGAAGAGGGCGAGTATCGAGGCTTTTGGATAGACATGCTGACTGACACGCGAGCAGATAAGAGGGAGCAGTCTAATCATTGTTGTTGTTGGTGTTGTCGACGTCCTCGTCCGCGACCCGCCCGCGACCTACCCCGCGACCACCCCGCGACCCACCCCGCGACCCACCCTGCGTCCCACCCGTGATCCATCCGCGACCCAATCATGTTTTGACGAGGTTTGTTTGTCACGTACACAAACCAAGATCCTGCGGCGGGCTTCTCCAGAGCTTCGCAGACTGCCGACGACCCCGCCGCCCCCTCACGCTTACCTGCAGATGCGGGGGGGCGACGTGTTCTCAGTACCTTCGTCCTCCAGTTGGGGAGCCTGGGCCCTGCGTAACCTGCCCGCGGAGCCTGCAGCCAGCGAGGGCCCGCGGGGGGGCCTGCACGGGGCCGCGCGGAACGGGGGCACTCGTCCCGGCAAGGCCCTTGCCCTCCACCTCCCGATCTTTCCGTGCGGCAGGTGCCGCCGCGGCGCGGCCGCGGCTGCCGCCGAGACCTCGGCTGCGGCCTCGATGGCCGCCACCGCTGCGACTGTGGCGGCGGCCGCGGCGGCGCCGCCACTGCGCGGCCCATGCCACTCGGAAGGTGCGGACTGTGGAGTCCCAGGGGTCCTGACAGTGACACGGGGTCTGAGTCGTGTAGGACATGAGCTGCTCAAGAAAGTCGTATGACATCGGTGCCTCCGGGTTTCCATGCTGTTGTAGCTGCTTGGGCCTGGGGCATCCCCTTCACCTCTATCCGTCCTCCGCCGCCTCCTGTACGCCCTCCGATCCCATCAGCCGTGTAGACGCGTGTCCTCCGCATCCACGTCGCGTTGTCGACTCGCTTCGGTGCGCGAGTTTTCCCTGCCAGGAAGGTCGCTGGGCGCCTCGCCGTGCCGCCCGCGGAGGGCGAGCACGCGTTCCCGCCGCAACCGCCCGTGGAGGTAGCGACGCCCGCACCCGTGAGCCGCCTCGGTGCGCCCTCCGCCGCGGACAAGGTCCGCGCGCGGCTGGCGGCGCTGAAGGGGGGCGGTGGTCGAAGGACAAATTCGCTCCGAATGTCCGTATAGAAGCACAGCTTGGCGGAGGTGCGCCAGGATTTCTTGCAGCGGCGTTGTGCCCCCCTGGCGGAGCCTCTGGCGCCGCCCCTGGCGCGCCCCGGCCGCCTAGGGGAGGGGGGGCCCGGCGCCGATCCCAGAAGTCCGCGCGGAGTTCCGAGAAACTTTTTGTGGCAAGTCTTCTTCCCCTAGGTGGGGCCACCACGGGAACCAGCTCGCGCGCGCCGGGCATCGCAGTGCCCGTGGCCCCGAAGGGACCCATCGGCCCAGAGAGGCCGAAGGCCGCGACGGGCGGCTCGGACGCTGCCGCCCCGGCAGCCTCCGTGTCCGGCCCCGAGGTCCTCGTCTTCCGCTGCACCGGGTGTCGCCACACCTGGGTGTCGGGGCGGGGCTCCACCAGTCTCGAGCAAATCTGCAAGTCCTGCGGCGCCTCGGTCGTCGGCGTGCTCTCGGAGGGCGCTGTGATGTGCGAGCTCGTGAAGGCCTCCCATTCGGGCGCCGGCGAGGTGATCAAGATACGCTTTGACCGCCCGATCGGCGCGGGCTTCCCCGCCCATGAGCTGGAGGCGAAGCTGGGGGCCTTCGTGGAGTCCGAGCTGCGCTTCGCCGCCCGTTTCTTCGAGGAGGACGGCGTCATGGACTACGTCGCGTACCGTCGCGGCGCGGGGGGCGACGGGCGCGGGGAGGGCCGTGATGCGAAGCAGGATGTTCTTATGGTGGATCGTATGGCCTCCACGTTCGAGGCGCTCTGCAAGGCCGAGTTCGCGGGGACCATGCGCGGAGGCGAGGCCGACGCGAAGCTGCAGGGGCTGCTTGGGGGCCTAGTGGAGTTCAGGTTCGTCTCCGCGCCCGAGCGGATCGGTGGGGGCAGCATCGGCTCCGCGATCACCGCGGCGGTGGACTTCCGCCCCTCGCTGGACGTGGACGAGAGGGTGGCCGACAAGGTGGACGAGAGAGTGCAGAAGCTGCGGGGAGTCATGCGGGAGATGGACAAGAAGGTCCTGGAGAGCCACCGGGGCTCCAGGGGCCCGGAGCCGCAGCACCCCGCGCAGTGGCTGGCCCGGGTCATCTCCGGCCTCGACTTCCACCGCGGCATCGCCAACATCTCGGGGCGGGAGGGCCACGACCGGGTCCGCTGCATGACCTGCCGCTTCCTGGGCGAGGACTGCAGCTCCGACGTGGCCCGGTCGCAGGATGACGAACCAACAACACACACCCATACCCATAGGGGGGTCGGAGAGGGCTATGGATGCGTGTTGTCGGATGGGGGTCCCCGCTCGACTGGGAGCGTTCCCCAGGGTCCGACAACCCGCACCCATACCCATAGCCAGTCCTCCTCTCAACGACCCCCCTATGGGTATGGGTGTGTGTTGCTCGTTCGTCACAGGAGGTCCGAGGCGCCCTCCGCAGGCTGCCCAGCTTCGTCTTCCAGACCGGGCTGCTGCTCGGGCGGGAGGAGTCGGGGTCCAGGGGCTGGAGGGAAAGGGTGGGCCCCTTCCTGGAGGGCGTCGCGGGCACGCGCGGCGGCGAGTGCTTCATCCTGGCGGCCGTGGACTCGCGCGACCGGCTGCGGCTCCCGAGGATGGACAAAGCGGCATGAGCACAGATCGCCAAAGGGCCGCGAGAGTATATTGGACCTGCGCTGGAACCCCCTCATTGCGCCTCTGGTGCCGCCCCTCGTGCGCTCTGCGCGCCAAGAAGAAGGGCCAGCGCTGATCCATGACATTCGCACGGACTTCGAACGCTTCCGTGAACAGTTTCCCAGCGGACTCTCTTACCACACGGACCGCTGAACAAAGAACGAATGGCGTTTCTCGCCACGGCGACCCCAGCCACAAACAGGGCGCATGACAATACTCAGAAGGGACGGCCCGGAATCCACCCGAGCCTCTCGTGAGCCCCCATGTGGTCCTGATTTCTCTGTGCCGTTGGTATGGCGGCGCGCGCGGGAGGGTGGCGCGAGGGGGGCGACCTGCCAAGAAGGCGGGGCGTTCTGCCAGAAGGCGGGGAGGCCTTCTCAGAAGGGCGGCCTGGAAGCTTCCCAACAAACTTAATTTGAAGCCTCCGGGGGGGCTTCCAAGAAGGCCTTACATGGGGCATGTCCCTCTGCTGGAATACTACTCAAGAGAAACACAATAATATGATGACGATGGTTCGTCCGCATTTGACGTTTTTTTTATGTTTTGACTTTCTTCTACTGTCCTTCAAAAGTCGCCCTCTGGGAGGACATGCCCGACTTCGAGAAAGCCACTGGCTTGCAAGAGGCCCCTCCGCCTGCTCTTGGAAGCCCCGCCCCCTCGCGCCATCCGCTGTGGGCGCCGCCAGGTGCTTGCCGTGCTTCTCCCCCTCGAGGCTCACGCTCTTCTCCCACCCCGAGTGGCTGGCGGGCGCCCGCGACCGCATCGTGGCCTACGCGCAGGGCGGCCAAGGCGCGCCGCTGCTGTCGAGCCTCGTGGGCCTCGGGCGCGCGGCGAAGGGGCTGCACATCGTGGACGGTGATGGCGGTGATGATGGCGGTGACGGTGATGTTGCTCGTGGTGGTGGTGGTCGTGGTGGTGATGGGTGCTGATGATGAGCACAGTGAGGATGAGGATGAGGATGAGTATAATGATGATGGATGATTGCGGTGGTGATGCCTATGCCGATGATTGCGGTGGTGATGCCTATGCCGATTATTATGCTGATGCTGATGCTGATGCTGATGCTGATGCTGATGCTTCTGATGATGATGGTGATGATGATGATGATGATGATGATGATGATGATGATGATGATGGATCATCATGATGTTGACCTCCACGGGCCCAACGCAAAGTGCAAGCAACTGGCAGTGCGGGACCTGCCAGCTCTGAATGCGACTCGGACAGGCCGACCTACTGGTGAGGTTAGTCCGAGTCGCCTGAAAGGTCGGCTCCAGCGCGCGCGTCCAGGAGGGGGGCCCGTGTGTCTCCATCCTCCTGTGACTCGAGGGGCTGCCGCCCGTGCACCAGCACATCTCCAGGAGATGGGGCGGGCTTCACCTCTCGAGCTGCGACGCGGGGCGGACCGAGGAGGGAGAGGGCCGCCTCCTCCTCTGCCTCAACGCCGCGCAAAAAAAGGAGCCTCCCGCACCTCTCGCAGCTGCCGTCTCTCGCCCGGCCGAGTCCCCGAGGTCGCACACACCCCCGTCCCTTCCATCGCGCGGGGCCTGACTGCAGCGGGCGCCGGGCGGGACGGGGGGCGGGGGGACATGGCCTGCGGCGGCAGGTGCTGCAGCGGCACCAGAGGCGGTGGCAGACGGAGCGGACGGGGGAGGCGCACCCCAGAACGTTCTCATCGCCACGGACGCAGGGCTCGGACCCATCCTCAAACACACAAGTGTCATCCTCAAACACACAAGTGTCAGAACAGGCAACACACTTGTCTACATCGATTGTGGCATTCAGCTTCTGCTTAGAGTAGTGCGGATGGATGCCCTTCACGAGCGCTCGCCACCCACATTTGGCAGCGCGGGAAGATGGTTGGCACCGCTCTCCTAGGCCTCGGACCGAGGCGCCTGAAGAGTGGCACTTGCAGCGCAGGCAGATAAACAGAACTGACCCATCTGAGCAATTGAACGCCACCGTACGGTGGCCCAGCTCCTGCTGCCTCGCAGCATGGAGCCTGGAGACACTAACACAGGAGCCTGGCGGGGGGCACGTCTCTGCTTTCCTCCGCCCCTGCAAACAAACAGCACACCTTCAAATGCCACTCCATCTCCCCCACCTGTGAGGCACGGGGGGGGGGGACACAGCGAAGCGGAAGAGCGCACAGGCGGGGCGTGTGGCACATCGAGGGGGTAGTTTGGGCCAGAGCGGAAGCAAACTGGCCGCGAGAATGCAATCTGCTCCGGCGGCATCGGCCAGCTTCGTGGCTACTTCCGTATCGCCAGGGGCAGAAGGGTGAAGCCGAAGGCCGTGCTTAGCTCCAATGTCGGCGTCCGAGTGACCCTTGCGAGGAAACAGGTCACGAGCTGAGAGGCCGTCCTCCTCGAGGCCGAGGTGGGCTTTACCTCTCACGATGCCGTCTAAAGCCTGGCCCTCATTAGCACTGGCTTGCAAAACCATTCCAGAATAGGCTCTCTTCCCTGTATATCTGTCAGGCAGGGGGAGGCGACTCTGGTGGACCACATTGGCGCAGTCTGAGTACACGATGCTCGGGAAAATCATAAACTGAGAAACCATACAGCGAGCCGAGAATGCCGCAGCCTGCGGAGTCTGAGGGAAGTGGGCCCGCACAGGGCCCCTGACCTCTCCAAGGCACTCCCCATCATCCGAATTCATTGAGACAGCCCATGCCGCGCGTGATACTTCACGGACGGGGTGGCGCTGGCAAGAACCATCGATGAAACGGTGCCCCCACATTTCTCCATTGGCAGGGGCCCTGGGGCCCTCTGGGCTCATGAGCTCAGTGCGATGCCAGGTGTACACCAGTTGGTCAATGATGATGATGATGGTGGTGATGGTAATGATGATGCTGATGCTAATGATGATGATCATGATGCTGATGATGATGATGGTGATGGTGAGGATGATGATGATGATGATGATGATGATGATGATGATGATGATGATGATGATGATGGTGGTGTTAGTGATGGTGATGGTGATGCTGATGGTGAAAAAGCTAATGCTGATGCTGATGGTGATGGTGATGGGGGCCCTGGGGCCCTCAGGGCTCATCGATGCCAGGTGTACACCAGTTGGTCAATGATGCTGATCTTGATGATGATGATGATGACGATGATGATGATGCCGATGATGATGATGATGATGAAGATGGTGCTGCTGATGATGATGATGATGATGATGATGATGATGATGATGATTTTGATGATGATGATGGTGATGATGCTGATGATGATGATGATGCTGATGATGATGATGATGATGATGATGATGATGATGATGATGATGATGATGATGGTCGGGCCCGTGGTCGTTGACACGTCTAACGACCACTCAGCGGAGGCGACGCAGAGCATGTTTCGGTGACAGCGATGGTGTTGTTGCTGCTGCTGGTGGTTACTTGGAGGATGATGGCTTGGTGATAGTGATGGCGATGTTGATCCTGTTTCTGATGCTGCCTGCGGCGAGGACGAGAAGCCGGGCGCGCCGCCGCAGTTCGAGGCGGTGAGCGCCGTGGAGCCGCTGCTGCGGCTCTTTGGGCCTGGCGGCGCCGCGGCCCGGGGCCCCGCCCTCCAGGGCACGGGCGAGGCCGGAGGGAGAACGCACAGCCCAAACGCAGAGGAGGAGACCCAGAAATCCAACGCATTGACAAAAATCAAGACGGACGTGTTTCGCAAGTTTCGGCCTTGCGGGGCCCTCGCCGGGCCTCGGGACCATCAAAAAAAATCGACTCGGGATGAAAGATGGGTCGAGACTTCTGGGGACCCCGTATTGAAAAAAAAAAAAAAACACGACGTCGGATCTCCTGGGGAGAGGGTGCCGATGCCGCTGCTCGTCCTGGAGTGCTCTTCGTCGCCACGGCGGGACTGTCCTCCACATCTTTCTAGTCCGAAGAACCCCATGGGAGAGGTCCGCCGTGTGAGTAGAGCACAGGGCTGGTCCGAATTCGGTGTTTTGGGCGATTTCGTAGGGCGTCTTCGCTTCGACTTCGTTGTGCGGTAGAGGCGGATCGAACACAAGACGAGGGAGAACGACAGCACATCGAGAACGAAACACATCGCTGAGGTTCGGAGGCCCGCTCGGACTTCTTCGGGGGTCGGCCCGGGTCGGCGCCAGATCTCCCCCGGAGGCGCCTCCGGCAGCCGCCCCTGCCGCGCTCCCCGCTCGCCAGGGGGCTTGGCATCGCTCGGACGTGTGCATTTTTCCTTCGGCGAGGACCATCGAGGAGCATCCTTGATCATTTGGCGAAAAAGCCACGCACGAAACCAAAAAAAGCACAGGGAATGGACGTTTGAGCGATGGCGAGGGGGGGCCTAGTTATAGCGCAGGTCCAGGGCTTCCGCCCGCCGACCGCCGAACATCTGCACGCAGCACACCGCAGTTGCGGGTCGGACTGCGGGGGCGGGCGCGGGGCGGCTCGCGGGCGAGGCGCGCTCCCCAAGGCACGATCGCGTCGTCGAAACACACACACAAACAAAAATCAGGACGGATTTTTTTCGCCGTTTGCGGCCCCTGGGGGTCCTCGCCGGGCCCCGGGGCCGTCAAGAAGTGACTCAGAATGCAGAACCGGTCCCGGGGAAAGGGTCAGGATTTCCGGGGACGCCGTCTTGAACAAATTAGGACGTCGCAGGTCTGGGGTCGGGTCGCAGGTGGTTCCCAAGGTGCGTCCCGGGATGGGTCTCGGGGTGGGTCTCTGGGTGGATCGCAGGGTGGGTCTCTGTGAGGATCGCAGGTGCGTCGCCGAGGGGGGGGGGGCGACGACGACAACAGACCACCAGCAAGCAGCACCTGGGCCACGTCGTCCCACTTTCACCCGCGCATGCTTGTGCCGCTTCTCTCTCCGTGTCGAGTGCCCCCCCCTCCCCCGCCTCTGTTCCGCGGCTGCCCTCTTCCTCCGTCCGTCTCTTGCTGCCGGCGACGTACGCCGCGCGCCCCCAGCTACGAGAGCGCGCGTGCGGATCGCCTCTGCCGCGCTGCGACGGACAGTACCAGCCTGGAGCATATCCCCATCCCTATGTTTGACACCACCTGACCTCGATGCCGATCTTAAGGATTCCCTCCGCTTTTGAGGGCCTATCCCTAAGATTGTCCTCGCTTTTTGCTCGCCCATCCTAGGGATAGGGATACGCTCGAGGCTGGTTACGGCAAGCTTGTGCCGTTTCCCTCACTGCAGAGGCGGCGGACGCCTCCCTGCCGTCGCGGATCTGCTGGGCCGGCGACGTGCCGAGGTGCAGCCCGGTGGACCGGAGGCTCTTCGAGGAGGCCCGCGGCGTGTTCCGCGCGGACTGCGGCTTCGAGTGCCGGGCTCGGCGGTCCCTAGACAGCTGGCCCGAGGGTTAAATGGGCCACGCGCAGAGAGGCCTAGGAGGAGGGGGAAACGGTACTCATACTGCTACCCTTCGTCCGTTTTCTCCCTCTTCGGCTTCCTGGGAGGCCCTCGCCGCCACCGCTGGACTCGCCTCGACATCCTGGTCAGAATGCACCGCCGGAGAGGTCCAGGGAGTTACCGTACTGGTACCTTTTGCTTTCCCCAGGATTCCGGGGAGGGGGTAAGGGTTTTCTGTCGATGTAGGACCGGCGCTTTCTAACAAGAAGGCTCCTGAGAAGCCTTCCCCCCTCCCCCTAAGTACCCCGCACCCCCTTATGCGCGCCGCCAAATTAAGATCAAACCTGGCTCTTCGGAGGGGTACCGTTCCGCTGTTTGCTCTCGAGCTCTTCACTCTGGGGCGCCTCTCGTTTTGGGTACACTCCTAGAGTATCGGCATGCTGCGAAGGGGCTTGTGTTCTTGACCCCACGTTCTCGTGACCATGTTTCGACCGTGCGCCTAATGCTCACACGTAAGCCGACCCATGCGAAAGCGTCCAGACGGCGCGTGCTGCTCCAGCACTTGGTGGCTTGCGTTGTTCCGGATGCATCGCTCCAGACTTTCGTTTTCCCTCTGCGTGTTGAGCACCGTGTGAACACGCTGCGGTTGGCGGTTGCGTATCGGGGCAGCTAATCCGGATGCAACTCCTAAGTGGTTTGATTCAGCATCGGCGCTTGTGTACCAGTGGTTGAAAGCAGGCGACATCGGGCATAACAGTCTAGCTTAATTCAGCTTTCGGGCTGAATCTTGCGTCTGATCTGAGCTAAACCAGCGCAGTGGCCTCCTGAACCAGTCTTCTCACAGCCCTGGATTGTTTTTTTCTTGTCCGAGCACCTCCCAGAAGTTGCCTCGTAAATCTAATTGAGGGACGCACGACGACGGGGTCGGCCGCGCCGATCATCGCGCATGAGTCAGGAGAAACAAACACACAAACACAATTCATCGTCGATTCCCTGGAAAATATGGGAAGGGGGGGGGGAAGACGACAATCCAGAAGAGACGGAGGAATCCTCGGATTTGTGTGTATGTATTGAGCCGCTGCGCTTTTAGGCTTGCGCGTTGCTAATTTGACAGGCCCGTGGCCTGGACCTCTCAGTTCGGCGACTGCGAATCCGCGTCCGCCCGCGACCGAAAAAAAGTGTATGGATTGAGCGTCTTCCGCGTGAGGCATCGAGCGAGCGCCCCTCTTCTCCGCGCGGTGTGCCGCGCGGGCGGCCCGCGCACGCCGCGGCGTCACAGACCAGCGCTGTGCTCGTCGCTCGCTCGGGGGCGCTCCAAGAGCGCTGCGAGAACGGCCGCGGCGCACGAGGCGTCCTTCGGAACCGGCGGGTCGCTGAGATCCCCGACTCCTCCTCCTCCTCTTCCTCCTCCCCGTCCTCCTCCTCCTCTTCCTTTTCCTCCCCCTCCTCCTCCTCCTCCTCCTCTTCCTTTTCCTCCTCCTCCTCCTCCTCCTCCTCCTCCTCCTCTCCTCCTCCTCCTCCTCCTCCTCCTCTCCTCTTCTCCGCCTCCTCCTCCTCCTCCCTCCTCCTTCTCCTATTCCTTTTCCTACCCCTCTCGTCCTCCTCCTCCTCCTCCTCCTCCTCCTCCTCCTCCTCCTCCTCCTCCCCCTCCTCCTCCTCCTCCATCTACCCTGGTCCGATGCTGTCCTTGCCCTGGCCCCGTCTGAGATGTTCTTGGCCCCAGATCGTGTTTACGAAGGCCTTCCTGGCGTTGCCGTCTACAGTGGAGACCCATGCCAAAAAAAACACCCTGCTTGCCTCCATGGTGCCCTTTGTTTCTTGGGTGTCGATGGTTTTTCAATGGAAAGCGTGACGTTCCCATACCAGAAAACAATGGACGCTCTGGGGTCTCAGGGTTGGGTTCCTTGTGGAAGGTTTCTCGTGGACTGGCCCCACTGTAGAGCCGAGGTGCCTGGACGACCTGGTGGACTTCCTGCGGGACTTCCGGCACGGACGCGCGGAGGCGCAGGCCAAGCCGCAGCCGCGGCCCCCCCGGGTGCCGACGGAGGGCGGCGGGCCGGGCAGCCGCTGCGGCCCTCGGGGGCAACGCTCGGGGGGAGACCCGGGTCGCCAGTCGCCCATGGATCGCCAACAGGGGCCGATAGCCCACCCCGCCCAGGCCCGTAAATATCAGGATGGAAAGAAACACACAGACACAATTAATCGGCGATTCCCCGGAAAATATTGGAAAATACGGGAAGTGGGGGGGAATACAAAAACCTAGAAAATATGGGAACATTTGTATTTATTAGTGTGTCCCAGGGCCCCTTCAAAATATCCACCATCATAAAACCACTCGCCGACCTTTTGTTGTTGTGTCGCCGATTCCAGCTCGATGTGCTACCCTGTGCGACAGTCCCCCCCCCGTAGCGTTGCCCCCCAGGCACGCCGGGCCCGTCGCTGGCGCGCACGGCGCGCTCATCGAGGCCTCGGTGGGAGTCGAAGAGCAAAGCACGGCCTGAGCATCACTCCTCTGAGCTCCGCGCGGGTTTCTCGGATTGGCGCTGGGTCCTTCTGTCCCCCCCTTTCCTACGGGGCGTGAAAACGACCACAGCCACTGCTTTTCTTCTGTTGCCGCCTTCCAGCCCGCAGAAACAAAGCAGTAGTTGTGGTCATTTTCGTTGAGCTTGGCACCAGGGGAATGACCACAACCACTGCTTCTTGTTTGGCCGGCTGGAAGGCGGCGCAAACAAGAAGCAGTGGCTGTGGTCATTTTCCAGTCCCGCATTTCCGTCTTCCTCTGGTGAAGCAAATGGGTCCTGGGGTTCGTCCGAGCCGCAGCGGGTCTCCGCGCAGCCCCCTGGGCCCTTTCTTCTCCTCTTCCTCTCCTTCGGCGCTCCTCCGTGAGCGTGGCATGTTCGCGGGCAGCGGCGTGGCGGCGAGCGCTGGCCTCGGCATGTCTGACAGCAGCGCGTGCCTGCCAGCCGTGGAGCAAAAATTGCACACGGGTCCTAGGGGGCAACGGGTCCTGGCAGTGTCCGCTGTTTTTGATGGGCTTGTTGTCCACCACCACCACCACCACTATCAGTTGGAGGGGGGAGGGGATCCTCCTCCCCCTCTTCTTCTTCCTCCTCCTCACCCTCCGCCTCCTTCCCCCTCCAACTCATGTAACTTATGGTGGTGGTGGTGGTGGTGGTGGTGGAGGCGGTGGTGGAAAACAGGCCCATCAGTTTTCGAGCTACTGGCCCCCCCTGCGACCCACCCGCGACTCGCCCGTGACCCGCCCCGAGCCTGCCCCCATCACTCTTACAGTGAAGACCTTAGCTGCTCTGAAAGGCACGTTTTGAAACTTAACACGTGCCGTGTTCAAAACGTCCATGTTCAAAACCTATGTGTTCAGTTTACGTGTTGAGCTCCGTATCAATACCCTACGTGTTGCGTGTTGCGTATCGGGGCTCCTAAGGGGGAGACCCAAAGAAACACCCTGCTTGCCTCCAGGGTGCCCTAAGCTTCCTGGGCCTCCATGGTACGATGGGAAGCCCGACGCTCCCACACCAAAACCCATGGACGCCCTGGGGTCTCAGGGCTGGTTTTCTTGTGGAAGTTTTCTTGTGGTCGGGCCCCTACCGTATCCACAATTGCGGGGTACGAAGTGTAAGTGATCGAAGGTCGCCGCGCGGATCTCTTGGACCGTCGCTGGGTGCTACCTGGCGCGCGGATCTCGGCAGGGGCGGCGCCGGAGGCGCCTGCCGGGGTTGTCCGGCGCTGGCCCCAGAACTCCGTGCGGACCTCCGAGATGTTGTGCTTCAATCGGGCGAAACAAAAATACCGATCGTGCTACTCCACGGGCCTCTCCCAGGGTGCATGCTGGCGAGGAGGTCGAGGAACATCGGGCCGTGGCTACCAGGACGAGCAGCGGTTCACGGGCGTCACGGCGAATACCAACACAGTGATTGCATCCTGAGCTGTTTTTTGACGGTCCCGGCGACCGGCGGGGGCGCCCAGAGGTCGGGAATTGCCAAAACGAACCCGTCGTAGTGTTCTCACGCACGACGCAGTGACGCAAGCATGTTGGGGCTTGGTATCTCCAAGATGGGTGTTCTACCTTCGACGACGAGCACCAGGAGCGCCAGATCTCTCGCTGCCCGCCGCGCCAGGATGAGCACGAGGACGACGAGCACCACCCTCCTCCTCCTCCTCCTCCTCCTCCTCCTCTCTCCTCCTCCTCCTCCTCCTCCTCCTCCTCCTCCTCCTCCTCCCCCTCCTCCCTCTCTTCCCTCTCCTCCTCTCCTCCTCCTCCTCCTCCTCCTCCTCCTCCCCTCCTCCTCCTCCTCCTCCTCCTCCTCCTCCTCCTCCTCCTCCTCCTCCCCCCTCCTCCCTCTCTTCCCTCTCCTCCTCCTCCTCCTCCTCCCCCTCCTCCTCCCCCTCCTCCCCCTCCTCCTCTGACCTGGGGAGTGCTTTCTCCCACGAGTCTCGCCCGGGGCCCCCGAGGCCGGAGCCCGGGGCACCTCGGCACCTCGTGGCCCGCAGCAGCAGCGCCACGGCGCTCACCGTCCCGAGCTGTGGCGGCGCGCCCGGCGTCTCGGCCTCATCGCCAGCAGCTTTCTGAGAATTGATTCAACGAGATCAAACGAGATGTGAATGTTTCTCCACTGGACTCGGGTCTCTCCAGAACTACTAGAGAGCAGCAGTCAGACGCTATGCTAAGCTGCTGGGCCTGGGGCGCGGTAAGCGCCACCCTGATCCAAAATGCCTACTGCCGGGCATGGGGGGAGTCTGAAAACCAGGGCAGGACGCCAAAAATGTTACGACGGCCTCATCGCCAGCAGCACCAGAGCCAGCCATGTCTTAAGCCGGGCGTGCCCCCCTACAGGGGGATTTCGGGCGAACAATGAAAGATGCTCAGAAATACCCCTCAAGGGTCAGAAACTATTCAAAAAGTAGTCCCCAGACTTTGTTTTGAGCATTTGTTTGTCTATTTTAGCGTCGGAAATCCCCCTGTAGGGGGACAGGCCCGACTTAAAATCAGCCATGTCTGCATCGGCAGGACCAGCATCTCAGCATCATGATCATCATCACCACCATCACCGTAACCATGGGGACGGCATCATGGGCATCATCACCCTCGTCATCATCATCATCATCATCATCATCATCAGCATCATCATCATCATCATCAGCATCATCATCATCAGCATCATCATCATCATCAGCATCATCATCATGAGCATCGCCATCATCATCAGCAGCAGCACCACCAACAACATCGTCATCATCATCAGCATCAGCATCATCATCACCATCATCATAATCGTCATCAGCATCATAATCATGATCATCGTCCGCGTCATCATCATCACCATCATTATTCAAATCGTCATCAGCATCATCATCATCATCCTCACCAGCATCAGCAGCATCATGCTCATCATGTTCATCTTCGTATCCACCTTTATCATGATCACCACCTTTCTCATTCCAGTTGTCATCATCATGAACATCGTTATCACAGTCATATTCATGAACATTTTCTTGATCATCATCATCATCAGCATCATCACCACCATCGTCAGCAGCAGCATCACCATCGTCATCATCATATACTCCGCCATCGTCATCATCGTCGTCATCCTCACTGTCATCGCCAGCAGCACCAGAAGGAGCCATGTCTGCATCGTTCGGATCATCATTAGCATCATGATCATCATTACCACCATGACAGTCACCACGGGGACAACATCAGACTCACCATCATCATCATCACCATCATCATCAGCAGCAGCAGGAGCTCCACCATCATGATCATCATCATCATCCTCATCATCATCGGTACCAGTATCATCATCATCATGATCATCATCTGCGTCATCATCATAGTTAATCATCAGCATCATCATCATCACCAGCATCAGCAGCATCATGCTCATCAGATTTATTTTCAGATGCACAGCCATCATGATCACCAGCTCTGCCATTGCAATCGTCATCATCATCTACATCATCATCACCTTAATGTTCATAAGCATATTCTTCATCATCTTCTCCATCTTCATCATCAGCATCATCGTCACCATCATCAGCAGCACCATCACCATCGTGACCATCATCAGCACCAGCATCGCCATCGTCATCGTCTACTTCACCATCGTCCTCATCGTCGTCATCGTCATCATCGTCGTCAGCGTCACCACTATCATCGTTACGAGCACCTTCACTATAAGAACAGGGGGCCACGGCATCTTGATTTTGCGTTTTGCCGCGAGGTCCTTGGCGACAAGCCGGCCCTCGCCGTCGCCTTCCCGCGCGGCGGCGCGCTCCGCGCTCCGGTCACTTGCGCGCGGGCGCTCCCCAGAGACGAAGGGACGTGCGCCTGGGCGGCGCCGGGGCAGCTCGGCGTCCGGCGCAAGGTCTCCTCTTGCTCCTCCTCCTCTTTCTCTTTCTCCTCCTCCTCTTTCTCTTTCTCCTCCTCCTCCTCCTCCTCCTCCTGCTCCTCCTCCTCCTCCTACTCCCTTCTCCTCCTCCTCCCCCTGCCTCCTTCTCCTCATCATTACTTTCCTCCTCCTCCCTCCTCCCACTCCTCCTCCCACTCCTCCTCCCTTTCCTTCCTCTCCTTCTCCTCTTATTCCTCCTCCTCCTCCTCTTCCTCCCCCTCCTGTTCCTCCTCCTCCTCCTCATCCTCCTGCTCCTGCTGCTCCTCCTCCTCCTCCTCCTCCTCGTCCTCCTCCTCCCCCTCGGTCCCGCTCGCGGCGGCGCCGGCCGTCGCCGTCGGCCTCCCCCTCGGCCTCGCCGTCGGCGGCGCGCCGGCCGTCGCCGTCCTACCGGCTTTCCCCCTCGCGGGCGGCTTCCCCGCGCGGGGCGCGGTCGCGGAGCCGCTCTGGAGCGGGCGGCGGCGCGGAAAGGCAGGCGTGGCGCAGTGTCACTCTGCAGTCGGGCGTGTCCTTCTGCAGGAGGAGAAGGCCAAAGATCGCACGCACTGACAAAAAAAACAAGACGGGGGCTTTTCCCAGTTTTCGGCTTCTGGGTCACCCTCGCCGGGCCCTGGGACCGTCAATCAATG